GGGGGGCATACATTAGTGCTCAACTGCTCATAGTGCATCCCTATTAGATTTAAACGTTAATTTGATTACAAATTTACATATGATGAAGTGTTTTAATTTAGTCAAATATTTAGAAATACCAAAATAAAGAATAATTAAATTGAAGTTGACTTTAATTTTGCCATCAATGTAACTCGTAAAAATAAGATGTGATAGATATATTATTAGTAAAAAATATGATGTAATTGAAAAGATAAAAAATAGAGTTAAAAGTGGATTTTTAATAGAAAATGGATCGAAAGTCTTTTGGTGGATTGTAAAAAATGAAATGTGAAGTATTTTATTGAAAAGAGAGAGTATAAGTTAACAATATTAAAGGAATACATTTCATAGTGTTATGTTCATTTATCATTTTTGGAGCATTTAATTTCACAAATAAACAAAGCAATGTTACCATCTTGGTTACTCTAATTATAGATATATCATATTCTCGTGAATGGTAGGAGTGATGCACTAGTAATAAATAAAAGAGATACGATTTCCGCAATCCAACATTGCATATCAAAAAACAAGAGTAATGTCATAAGCATTCAACCAAATAAGGCATAAATGTTATAGGAGTTTGGTCAAATTTAACATCCATCGATCATTTTATGAAAAACATTATATTTAATTATGACGTAAATCCGACTCGATAAAAATTTCATTAAATATTAAAGAGTAAATTCCATAATTGATCCTTTATAACAGGAGGGTTTCTATATTTAGTCTTCTATTATCAAATAATACCCCCGTAGTCCTTTTTTTAAGGATACATTTCCACAAATGGTCCTTTTTTAAGGGTACCTTTCCACAAATGGTCTTTTTTATCTTCTATCATGTGTTAATTTAAAGGCTAAAAGTATAATTCGACATCAATATTATGTTTAGTGACGTGTTCTAATATTGGTTAAGCGAATAACACAAAAATAATGACTATATTTTTGGGCTAGGGTTCTGACAAAAGACCACATTTGTAGACTATGATTGTAGTAGAAAGCAACTGTAATTCACAAACGACGCAAACGGAACAGCCTTTGGAATTGTGTATGACAAAAAAAATATTATTATTGTGAAATTACACTTTTAGCTCTTAAATTAACACCAACATAATAGAAGATCAAAAAAAGGACTATTTGTGGAAAGATACCCATAAAAAGGACTACTTGGTTAATATTTGGTAATAAAGAACTATATAGGGAAACCCCCTGTTATAAAGGACCAATTACAGAATTTACTCAATATTAAAAGTACTCCTTAAAAACATCCACGCCTGACTGTCTTTCCAAGGTCTTATACATTACTGAGTAAGTAACTAGGACAATTACGATGAACATCAATAAAATCTCTTGAAAACGGCTTGTCATTAAACTTCTATATCGCACATGTTTTTAAGTGTCTCAACATTAAATTGGCATTCCTTTGACTCCTTGCCATGCCTCTTCAAACACTGCAATTTTTTACAAAAAGAAAGTGGAGGTCACAACTAGACAATTCTGAAGAGTATCAGCTAGTGTTGCACGGAGTATTCGCTTAAGAGAATGATCTCTGTTTCCAGCTTTCCTAAAGAAATCCTCTGTCTAAATTAAGTGAGAAAAACTTACCCTTTCAAATTTTTGTAAAATTGAACCACAATGCCCTTTCTTCGTTTCTGCCCACCAATCATTCCAAGAAGACCTAAACTCATCTGTCAAAAAAATGCACAAGTAAATTAACACTTGGAACAAAAAAGAGTACCTTTTCCATTGCTAAAATGGTAGCAACAGGGGGGGGGGGCGTACAAAAAAATGAAACTCGGCATCAAAACATCTTATTAGATTGATTGCCTTAGATTTAATGGCAAAAATAAAATGCATGTTTTCTATTTTTTTCACCTTAGATTTAGTGACTATTAATTACATGCATTTTCACATACAAAAGCCAACTCCCAGCGACCTTACTTTCCACATGCATATCAAATCAAGCAAAAATAGAAAATGGAGTATATTGCAACACAAGGCATTTAAATCCCACACCACAATGCTCTTCAAGCTCTCTCTTCTTGTCCTGGCACCATCTATGATCTCTGTCTCCTCTGTTAAAAGATACACACTGCAAATATACCAAGAAAACGAGATCCTTAGCATAAAAGCTATGGAAAATTTCACTATGAGATATTGAGACCTCACAAGGAGCACTAACCGAAGAAAATAAATTACATTATAAATAAAAGCACCATTCTACAGAGGACGATTTGCTTTATAATAGAAATAGAAATTCACCAGATAAACAATGCCCATCAAACTCACACAAATTTCTTTACCTCTCCTAGATTTTCTAGTGTTCCAGCGTCTGCTGTGTTTCGTTTCAGTCAGCATTTGGTGGGATTTTCAGGTCAGTCTCTTACCTTCAATGGGTTCAGCAACCTCTGCCGCAGCGATTGAAAATTTGGCATCCCGCTATAATGAGATTAAAAAAAAACGTTCGGCCAAGAGACTACTATGCTAAATATAAGGCCTCTAGAAGTACTATAGGTGCAGGCACCACTCCTTGCCGCGATTAAAGCGCAATTTACCTCCTCTCAGGGAACGTCTGGTTGGTTCTGATGGGGTTCATCCTTTTTTTGTGAGATCAAGATTGCAGAGGAAAAAGCTGGCATCATGCCAGTGGGGGTGGAAGTTCAGGGCAGCGAAGGTGCAAGATCTGACAGTTGGATGTTGATTGGCAAGTTCCTACCGGACAAACTCATCAGTGTGCAATTTATGCAACAGGTCATGGCATCAGTTTAGTGTCCGGTACAGTGGGTGCAGATCTCTATATAGAACCATATCTTTTTTCTTTTCATCTTTTTTCCATAAGCAGATATTCAATGGGTACAGGAGGAGGGCCCTTGGTCATTTGAAAACAGCACTCTTTTCTGCAAGCAAGTTTGTGTGGGTGAACGTCCGAGATCGGTTGTCTTGGATACATTAGACATGTGGGTGCAGTTGTCTGACTTACCAGTGGGGTATGCCTCAGATATAGTGCTGGAACAGATTGGCAATTTTATTGGATCGTTCGTGAAGATTAGCAATTTTACTATGGGGTGCTATACTGCTATCTACCGGATTCCTGTTTCAGTCCCAGTGGCTGAACCTTTAAAACGGGGTATGAAGCTGATAATGTGTGATCCCTCTTAGTCATAGCTAATCTTCGAGAATGAACAGCTACACACTTTCTGTTCTTTCTGTATGAGGCAAGTTTGAAGGCAGGTACGAACCGTGGTCCTAGGGCAGTTGGGCAGTGTTAGTTGGTGCCTCCAGGGGGTGCTCCACAGATGGAAGATGGGCCTGGTTTGGGAGACCGGAGTGATTGTTATGGCTAAAAGGCATTGGAAGGGTGAGGACACTGTGATGGGGGGGGTGATGTGGCAATGACTGACCTTTCAAAAAACTTGACCTGCCTGTCCCAATGAGTGCTTTAAGCTGGAACTGTCGTGGCTTGGGCAATCCATGCACAGTTTGTCAGTTTTGACCTTGTGTACTAAGAAGCCAGATTTCATTTTTTATTATTTTTAATGGAAAGTAAAGTGGGCAGAGAACATGCAGATCCGTTGAGGGTAAAGATCGGCTATGAGGGGATGTTTTACATTGATAGAGCTGGTTTGAGTAGGGCACTAGCTTTGTTCTGGAAGAGAAACAACACAGCTAGCCTTCTGAGTTTCTCAAAGAACCATGTGAACAAAAACTTCTAAAACACAAAGGGTCTGTTTACTTTGTTTTTTACCCACTTTTTGTTTTTCATTTTCTATTTCTAGCTTTTCATCCTTTTCTTTTTCCCTTATTTGGAAGACATAAATACCAACACAAATTTTCTAACATCACACGTTAAGTGTGAAGACAGCTTAGTGAATGACATTGTTGACGGCAGTGGTAGGTAAAAATGGTGGTGCTCACCGATTGTGTAGTTCTTGATGATTATTGTGATAGGTAGTGACAGTGGTTGACGATTTGTATTGATTGGTGAAAAGTTATTGGTTCTATTGACGGTTAACAATAGTAGCAATGTTGATAGTCATTGGTTGTAAATATTAAGATGACGTTTGAATGACTCATGAAGGGTGGGGTGGGTAGGATGGGGTCAAGTCACCCAAGGATAACAGTGTGATGACAGTCATTGACTCATTGTGGTCACAATTTCTTTAGGTGGAGTATCTAGGTGGTCGGAGTTGCCATCAATGATTAGTTTTAACTTCGAAAACTTTTCCTACTTTTGAGAACATAGCACATTGTTTGGCACGATGTGGAGGTAGTTTTGTAAACTACGTATATGAACGTAGCCAAAGCTAGGCAATACGTTTAAAAATGTTAAAATGTGCTTGGATACCTATAAGGTATGCAACAACATCAACCAAGACTTATCCCGCCAGGTGCACATGGATCAAAAGACATCATTGCACCTTATCAACAGGTCTACCCCTTCATCTAGCCACATGTTTATTTTCGAATTATCCACCCTTTTCACTGGATGCTCTACTAATCTTCTCTCCACATGTCCAAACCATCTAAAGCAAGTTTTTTCCATCTTTTCAATAATACGTGCCACTCTAACTTATGGTCTCAATATTAATTCCTTATTCTCTCCATATGCATAAGACCGCTCATCCATCAAAACATGTTCATTTCGGGGACACTAACCTTGTGCTCATGTTCACCCATTGATGTTCATCACTCTGTTCCATAAAGCATAAATGGTCGAATCGTAGTACGATAATAATTTTTCCTCGAATCTAAAATGTGCTCCTTCGTCACATATAAAACCCAAAGCATTCCACCATTTTAACCAACCTAATTGAATCTTGTGGTTCGCATAATCCTCTAATTGTCCATTGTCTTGAATGATACACCCAAGATTCAAGCAATTATAAAATGGGTGTTACCATCCACCCTCATTTTGGCTAGATCCACTCCTTTAATGTTAAAAGACACTTCTGCCCCCCAAAGGTTGACTTGCATCCAAATTCCTTCTTTTGTTTTTTGAGGGTAAAATGTCAATTTAACCAAAAAGGAATAAATTTATCCAAAACGGGACTGGATATATATATATATATATATATATATATATAGCAACACCCTTATAAATATTTTTTGGAAAGAGAGGTAAACTAAGAACCTTACTTTAATACACCCAAAAAAATATAATAAAAAAATAGTCTAAAATGAAATTTTTAAAAAAAATCTAATAACCCTCCTCATCTCAATTGTGAATTTGAGCTTTGTGAACAAATGCATAAATAATTCTTCGTCTTTAGTCAGTTGACACTTGACAATAGGAGTGTTCTTCTTCATTCTATGAAAAAATGTGATAATGATCTCTAATATCTATGAACAATCAAAGCCTTCTTCTTCCGTATTTGTCCTGAGAACAATC